CCGTTTTTTTTTTTTTTTATAAATACATGATATATACCTCATTATGTTATTCAAAATGCTCCTCAAAAATAATTTATTCCATAAAACTCGCATTATATTATTTCTTAAAAAATAATTCATATTTCTTTGATATTTTCATATTTAACTAATATAATATTATTTTCGCTACTAAGACATCAATCTTGTACAAGGCTTTTATATATTGTCTTAACCATAGTCCTTTGACTATTCGAATATGACTAATTAATCCCAAAATATCACGTTGCTTTAATTTAATTTATCGACAATTTAGAATTGATCCAAAATGGTCCTTGTGGAACTAAATTGGGATTAATTTTATATAGTCGAGGGACAAAATTGAAATCAATTTTATATCACAATTACAACATAGGTGGCCATTTTAGATCAATTTTGTATAGGCAATGAACTAAATTGAAGTAGCATCATATTATGGGGCATAATTGGCCACACAATTAGTCTGGGGTCTATTTTGGGATTTTATTCTATTTATATATCTCTTGTTCACAATCTTTGATAATAAGCCTCTTGAAAATATTTATCAAAAACTATAACTTTTGTTTCGTACGCCATCCTTTATACAAAACATTTAGCTTAAAGAGTGGTGATGCAAAAATAATATATTAGTAGTACCATCAGTGATAAGGTCGGTCAATAATAGTATCATTAACATTAATAATGTCCGTATTAATATCATTAAAAGTAGGGAGTAATGACAAATATGTATAGTGAACAGTCAAGTCATACAATAATAATGAATCAATAACAAACATTTCAACAATCATACTAAACAAGTAAGAAATTCTGGCTATCATGATACTTTTCAATAAATCATAAATTGATTATAGATAAATGTTAGCTTAATAAACAAAGTCATCACTCATTGCCCATCACCATATTAATAACTCCTTATAACACCCAATCGTTGAATCAGATAATGTCAAATCATCATATTAAAAGGAAAGTCCATCCACCTACTAACCTGTACAGTTCAATGAATCTCGAACTAACGGATCAACCAATCTTTACTTATTTTTTACAAACACATGCATTATTATCACAGTACTATGATAGTAAAAGCGACAAACTATTACTTTGTCTTACATCCTCATTCATTTTTAATACAATACAGCAAATAAAGCATAATTGAGTTTAATTAACAAAATGTCAAAATATTTGAAGAATAGACAACAAAAAAGCTAACTAAGCAGAAATTTATATTTTTCATAAACTAATCAAATTATCAGAAATTATATATAATAATATTTTGAATCTTTAATTGTATTAAAATATTATTTTTAGATATCAAAATAATTTTTTTGAATTCGAAAAAAATCATTGCTTTTTTAAAATCATCTGACAAAAATATTAAATAAATATTCAAAATCTTTATAATCTCAATCTCTATAGCATTTAAAAAGTTACGATATGACAGTTTTACCGATACAAGATTATCATTAATATTATAAATTTAAAAGAAAAACACTAAAAATAGCAAATTATTAAAATTAGAAATAGGATAATTATTCCTTAAAATGCAAGGAGCCAATCTCCTAAGATGACCGAACTGAAAAAAATCGCTTTACAACTTCCAATAACTTTGTTTTTTCTCTCTCATCAAATTCGCTCTCTTACGCCTATTTGAAAAAAGTTGCAGGAAAAAAGGTTTTAATAATTGTAATGAATAAGAATATGTATAAAAATAATAATCTAATTTATATAATTTTCACACATATAATTAGATTTTCAGAATTAAATTCATAGATTTACAAAAATGAATACTTGACCATTCAAATGGATATTAAAAATTTTAGATTTTGTTAAACTATCAATACACTAATCTAAGAAAAAATTTCATTGCCGAATCAACTATTGGGTCAAAAATATTTTATAAAAATTTTTATTATGCATTATTTTTAGAGAAATTATTCTTCTATATTTATTATTGTTGCGTCCTGGAAATTCACGGTGGCCTAGAGAAATATATGGTTTACGTCTTAGCATTGTTACGAGAGATCTTAGCAACACAAGCACCCGATAAGAGCGCCGGTGAAACATTCATAAGAGAACACCAGAATTTTTACGGCAAAACCCCTAAAGGGGAAAAAACCACCGGGGCCTTAGCCCAATTTGAATGAAACTCCACTAGTATTTGCCAGTCTGACTACAAATTGAGGCCCTTCCTTGGAGAAGGCCTTGTATTGATGCTCTACAATATTCATCATATACGATTGCTATTACATGGTAGGCGTTTAACATATACATGTTGTTTGGTCGGGAAGGGACCGTACGTCGGGCAGTGAGACCAGGGGCAGAAAGACCGTTGTCTATTGATGGAAGGTCGACGGACCGTAGTAGGCGACGGACGAGGTGCGTAAGACCGTATCGGCAGTGAAGACCTTGGCGTCAGGAATGACCGTTGTTCTGGTGATGGAGGTCGGGGAAGGACCAGAGTTAGGCGACGGAGGTCAATAAGGACAGTAGTCGGCAGTATTTCTGGGAGAACTGTGCGGATCAGGTGGGTGGCCTGGTGGAAGCTTATTAAGGACCTCAAGTAATGGTTCCGGCGGAAGTCTGTGCTCATGTGATATTTGGGAGCACACGACCTTTGGTGATGATTCTGCCGAAGACAAGGGCCTCTAGCAAAGGTGAGAGCCTTTGGCGAAGGTGAAGGCTGCTGGTAAAGTGAGGGCCTCTTAACGAAGGTTAGGCGCCTCTGTGCGAAGATGAGGCCTCAGATGAAGACGTTCAGGCCTGAACGTCGAGCCTTGAGATGGTGGTGCGGTGAAACTTCGGCGGGTGGTCCGGCGAGGCTTCGACGCTGGTCCGCGAGGCTCGACGGTGGCTCCGCGTGAGGCTCCTGCGGTGGCTCCGGCGAGGTTTCGGCGGTGGTCGGAGGAGGAGCTTCTTCCTTCTCCTCTTCCTTCTCTCCTTCTCCTCTTCTCTTCTTTGCTTTGACTCTCCTTCTGTGAAGACATTATGACCTTTATAGCATTTTCTGGAGTTGGCAATAGCTTGTAAATAGGCGTGAGTTCAGGGGCGAATAGTGAAGTTGGTTGAGTACGGGCATATGAATCCTACGATCATGCACCGTTCATTGGACATTTGTAGGCCTTAATGATGTCGGGGAATTTCTGTGATATTGGCGCTCGTTGGATTTTGTCTCGTCTCGCAGCCGTCGATTCGAGTATAAGCTTGTTAAAATACAGACACCCTTTTGGTAACTCAAACAGTGCTTACGAAGCTTACCAACAGCCGCTTCTAACCCTTGATTTGACTCATTTGCGTCTCAGATTGAAGTTGAATTTGGTCCCAAATGTCGTTGAGTTCGTATTCAGAGACACCTCAGGTTTGACGAAGATTGCGAAAATCAGGAGTTTTTGCGGTGCTCCCGGATTTTAATTTTTTAAAGTTCCCAACTTGATTTTTGCCCCCATCGAGATTCTGTGCCATCAACATAATTTCATGATGACGTATTAAATTATATTATTCAATAGGTTTTTGACTTTTAGAAAACTACTTTAATTGTTTTGAATAAAAATTCTACGCATCAAATAATTTTTTGTGTAAGGCGATACTGCATTTTATTTTTGTTCTCAAAGGGGCGCTTTTTTAAATTGTCGCTTCTCCAAGATATAAATATGCATACATGTCCCGTTCCAGAGAATTCTTCAATTCTCATTCCCTTCCTTAGCATAGAGCAACAAGCCCGCAACCAATAAACTTCCCAGGTCAGCAATGGCTGTCGCCAATAACGGCACCAGCAAGCAGGGGATCGATCCTCCATCGGAAACAACGGCAAGAAGGGCTGGTGATGTCGAGCAGCCGCCGCCGCAGGCAGATGGTGGCGCAGCAATCGCATCGGTGGTACAGCGTTGGAAGAGGGAGGATTTTCAGGAAAAGGCGGGATTGCTTCTTCGGGCGCTTCAATTTCTCTTTTCTCTTCTTTCCTTCGTTCTTATGGCTTCTAACAAGCACGGTGATTGGATGAACTTCGACCGCTACGAGGAATACAGGTGATTCGATTGATTTTGTCCATTGGATCTCGATAGAGATCATTGGGGATCTTTCATCGCGCGCGATGATTATTCTAATTTATTTAATTTCAGGTATCTTGTGGCGATATCGTTACTTGTGTTTTTATACTCGTCGGTCCAGCTTGTTCGGCAGGTTCGCCGTTTCAGCACCGGTCACGACTTTATGCCCGCTAGGGCAGGAACGATTTTCGATTTCGCTGGAGATCAGGTGAAAGTTTCTTGATCCATTAATCCTACTAGAACTCTAAAAATTAGTGATTCCTCCGACAGCGGAGTTCTCTAGTTAGCAATTTTTGTGTTATATGCTCAACTATCCTTCCTTCAACTGGTTTATGCTTCGTCTCCAATGACATTGGAAAGGTGAATGATCTCATCTTATAATTGGCCTGTATGGCTGATTGAAGCAGCAATCATATTTTCCAGCGTATTCATCCTGACATCATTTTTTGTTTCATTTATTATAATTGTTATTTGTTTAAATTGTGGGAAACCTATTTTGCCTAATCGATTATGTTCGGCCTTTTTAATCATTTTTTTATTAAGATAATTTCAGATTAGCTGAGTGGCAACGGAACAACCTAGCTTATTTTGAAAAAAAAAAAGCATTAAAAAAAAATACAAAAGGTTATGGGAGATACCCAAATATTTTTATTTATTAACATGTCTGAGATGTAAAATTTTATATTTATTTTTATAATACTTAAATCTCCACAGGTTAATTTAAAGTATTAAAAAATAAATATAAAGATTTAATAAAAAACATGTGATGTGTATGTAAATCCCCAAAAAATGAACCTGCGTCTAATTCTACAGTATTGAATGGGGATTGGACTAGATTCAGACAGAAATGGAAATTAATTTATCTTGGATAAACCCAGCTTGAGCCTGTTGCATATCTTTTTTTTTTGGTTATAAATTCTCATGTATTTTGCAGAGACGGATCAGGGAAGAACAAGTACCTTATACTGCAGTATAGCAAAATTGTATTTACTAAGTTAAAAGAACTATCAAATCTTTGGTAATTGGCTGGAATTAAAGGGTATGAGTTTGAAGACAATGAATTATAAGGAATATTGACCGTCCTAGAATTATTAGAAAAATGTTAAACAGAGAACTTCTTTAGGTCTTGGTAATGATTTGCCCGTTGCACAGAGTGTTTAATCTTGCGTCAATTAGCTTAGATCGACAATTTAAAAATGTTGTTAAGTTATTTCTGGTTTTTATTTCTTGTGGTCGTGGATTATGCAATTTCTCTATGCTCTCTGTTATAGCATCATGGGGTGTTAGAATTTTTAGATTTAATACATTAATATTAATACATATGCTTCATTTTTATTAAAAATATCTTGTCTTTATTACTATAAAATATTTTTATTATTGAGGAAATTCTATTTTATTGCACTTTCTTTATTATCTATTTTTTTGAATTTATATAAACATGTTTGTGTTATAATTATAAGAATAAAAAAGTACAACATTTTATGATTTCTGTTAAAAAAAACTTTTTTTTTTTTATGTTTTCTAACAGTACCCGCCACCCATCTAGTTGATCTGGGCAATAGTTAGTACTTCAGCTGCAATAGGCACGAACTATTTGTTGTGGTCAATTCATATTGAGAATGGAGATGTCTAGGGAGGTATGATGAAATGTAAGAATCACAAAGCATAAAGATCATTAAGTTCTTATCAAGAATTGTATTTTCCTTGTTTAGAGGAAGTGTTAAGTATGTGCACATTTTCTATTGATAATAACTAGTACTAAGCCATATTTTTATTCTCAAGCAAACAGAGGGACGTTGCAATTTCGTGTGACCTCGTGGTATTATTTGCTGTCAAAATGGTTGGGATAAAATAATTATGACTAGGGGCGAGAGTTTTGTCCTTATCCCCAAGGATAGATATAATATGTTTGAGCTCCACTGTAAATATATATGGCATTAAACCAAAATCTCCCTTTTCTTATAATGATTCTTTGATTATTCTGCCATTCTGGGTCGATTTATTCTCACCAATCAATCATCCCAATTCTTTAAAAGGTTTATTTGGTTATTTAAACTCCAAAAATCTTTTTGAAAGATGGGGAAACTTGTTAGATCTATGATTTCCTTAAAAAAGGTTAAAAATTCAACATTTGGTTTAAGTTTTTAAACTCCTTAAATTCTCTGTAGTGCCCCTGAGAGGACTTGATCATATTTTTTTTTTTTTTTTTTTTTTTTTTGTTATAAATTCTCATGCATTTTGCAGAGACGGATCAGGGAAGAACATGTACCTTATACTGCAGTATAGCAAAATTGTATTTACTAAGTTAAAAGAACTATCAAATCTTTGGTAATTGGCTGAAATTAAAGGCTATGAGTTTGAAGTCAATGAATTATAAGGAATATTGACCCTGCTATAATTATTAGAAAACTGTTAAACAAGAACTTCTTTAGGTCTTGGTAATGATTGGCCTGTTGCACAGAGTGTTTAATCTTGCGTCAATTAGCTTAGATCGACAATTTGAAAAAGTTGTTAAGTTATTTCTGGTTTTTATTTCTTGTGGTCGTGGATTATGCAATTTCTCTATGCTCTCTGTTATAGCATCATGGGGTGTTAGAATTTTTAGATTTAATACATTAATATTAATACATGCGCTTAATTTTTATTAAGAATATCTTGTCTTTATTACTATAACATATCGTTATTATTGGGGAAATTCTATTTTATTGTACTTTCTTTATTATCTATTTTTTTGAATTTATATAAACATGTTTGTGTTAGTATTATAAGAATAAAAAAATACAACCTTTTATGATTTCTGTTAATTTTTTTTTTTTTTTTAATGTTTTCTGACAGTCCCCCCATCCATCTAGTTGATCTGGGCAATAGTTAGTACTTCAGCTGCAATAGGCACGAACTATTTGTAGTGGTCAATTTATATTGAGAATGGAGATGTCTAGGGAGGTTTGATGAAATGTAAGAATCACAAAGCATAAAGAACATTAAGTTCTTATCACGAATTGTTCTTTCATTGTTTAGATGAAGTGTAAAGTATGTGCACATTTTCTATTGAGAATAACTAGTACCAAGCCATATTTTGATTCTCAAGCAAACAGAGGGTCGTTGCAATTTCGTTTGACCTCGGGGTATTATTTGCTGTCAAAATGGTTGGGACAAAATAATTATGACTAGGGGCGAGAGTTTTGTCCTTATCCCCAAGGATAGATATAATATGTTTGAGCTCCACTGTAAATATATATGGCATTAAACCAAAATCTCCCTTTTCTTATAATGATTCTTTGATTATTCTGCCATTCTGGGTCGATTTATTCTCACCAATCAATCATCCCAATTCTTTAAAAGGTTTATTTGGTTATTTAAACTCCAAAAATCTTTTTGAAAGATGGGGAAACTTGTTAGATCTATGATTTCCTTAAAAAAGGTTAAAAATTCAACATTTGGTTTAAGTTTTTAAACTCCTTAAATTCTCTGTAGTGCCCCTGAGAGGACTTGATTTCATTCATAAAATAAAAGTAATACGATCTTCATTTTATAAAGAATCTATCTAGAACTTGCCAAATGATTCCTAAATACACCAATCAGTTCTTTACTTGTTCCGTTGTTCGTGCATTCAAAGACAAAGTGGTATTTAATCATATCGCTTTGTGCTCAAAGCAGTTCATCACCCGAAAGAAAGTTGATTAAACAAACGAGCAGAAACCAGAGCATTTCCATTGGGTTTGTTTCATCTTTTTTCGCTCGTACTCCTCTTTGTTCTTTATTCTCTCTGTTTCTATTTTGTGTGTTGATTTATTTTTGTCCCATTCTTCCGAGCAATTACCATTCAACCTTCTGTTCCTTCACTGTTTACCATTCTATCGTTAATAAGGTTTTGTTACCAGTAGAGTCTTGTCAATACGCCAAAAGGTTCAAAGCAATCAATCAAAAAATGCAGCATAACCTTAATATAAAACCTACAATATATTGAGATGCAGGCAAAGCCTAATTTAAATACAGAGAGTTAATGTGCTTTTTAATGTTATTTATATTTTTTTACTAATAAACAAAATGGTTCATCAGTACTTTATTTGATAAATTAGATTTGATTTTAATGTGTTTTTTATTTTTATTTATCTTTTTATTTTCTGAAATAAAATTTGATTTTCATGTAGCTGCTTATCTTATGATCTCATCATCGTCTGCAGCCATTCCAATCACCAACCGCATGCGAGAAGGTTCTGACAACATATTCACAGATGCATCCTCGGCTTCCATCAGTATGGCCTTCTTTGCATTTTTATCCTTTGCTCTGTCAGCTTTGGCCTCTGGATATAAACTTTCTAAACATAGCTATATATAAGTTGGTCTTGTCTGTTGAATCCTCTTCGTGCAATTTGTTTGTTTATTGTCATTTTGATTGTCACATAAGCACATATATCATATATGTATGATTGCTGTGAAAATATTACTGTAACTGAATCGATTTTTTCGTAAGAGATTGTTGTAAATGTCGCAAAAATAATTATTTTATGAATGTGGTTTTTATCTGTCATTCTTCATTTTGCCCCAACTGTGTTATAGAGTAACAATGCAATGATATGCTACCATTGCTATCAAAGAATCCCTTTTGCTACAGCCTATGCAGATGGTTCAGTTTCGTTTGTTTCGATTATTTTGATATTCATATGTATTAGTTTTAAAAAATTATTTAAAAAAATTGAAGTATTTGTCGTATAATTTAGTGAATATATTTAAGAAAATAAAATATATTATTAAATTAAAGCTTTATTTGGTATAACTTTGTTATTGTTTTTTTTAAATAATTTTTTTAGGACAATTTCAAATTAAAAAAAATTATACAAAGAAGTTGCTTCTAAAAAATTTTAAAAAATTATTTTCTCTATAACAGTTTTACAAAATAATAAGAAAGTCATCCCAAACTAAACATTAATATACTTGAATTTTATGCCACATTCTTTTTATGCTCTAAGTGCAAATACATAGTTTCATCAAATAGGTTTAATAAATGCATAAGGTTGTTGGAATAAAAAATATGAATATTATAAGTTACATAATATTTAATTTAAAATTTTCTGTGATGATACCAGAAATCCTACTTACAGTACTTACAAGGTTCCCATAGCACAAAAAAATAGAGAATAAAGTAAAAAAAAAGGTTAGAGAATCAAGATAGATGCTCAAATTATTTTATTATTGAATTCAAGTGCAATTAATTGACTTTGGCAAGGAAAATTTCCTATGACCCTTTTATTTATAAGATTTTGATATTACAGGAAAAGCTATATATATATATAAGGCATATAGCTCAAAAAGTGTATATATTTAAGGGAGATTTACATACATACCACTTTTTTTTATGTTATTTACATATCTAATACTTAAAATATTAATATTACATATCTATCATTCATATACAATTTTAATATCAAATATATAACTCATATAATTTATTAATTATATCATTCATATCATCCTATAAACTTTAATATTTCATTCCATGCATTCAAAATTATTCAATGAGTGGTAAGCATGTAATATTAATGTTTAGGATGTTAGATATGTAAATCTCATGGAATAAAGTGGTATGTATGTAAATCCCCATATATTTAATTGAGGCCAAATTTTTGGAACCAGCAAGCTTGGCGTCAAATTTAGGGGAAAAAGCATGATTTCGAAATAATTCTAAAAGAAGCGAACTCGCTGTACCATTTGGCGCAATACCTGAATGTGAGATTTTGTTCAGCGCATTCCTAATGGCGCATTCCTTGAATTTGCCTAAAACTTTCGACCTTCGCGCAATCATGTTCTGTCGGCTGCAGCAAAATGAAATTTCTGAAATTTCGCGCATTCAACTAATGATTGTGCTATTTGAAGTAATGATATTACAATGATTTTTTTTTTTTTGAGAAATGAAATCATTTTATTGTTTATAGTATTTTAAATTTTTATATTAAAATTTAGCATCTTATCGTTGTTAATATTATTATTTATTAAAAAAAATCAAATTATCTCTAACTTTTTCATTTTGTTTTTTCATGAGGGGTGATATGATAATTATCGCGTATTATCGTACCTTTTGTTTTACACTTAATTTATGAAAATGTTATCATCTTAATAGTATAAGTTTATATAAGATGTAAATCATTTAAAATATAGTTTTAAATTTTTTTAAATATTAGAAATATTTAATTTAGTAGATTTTATTTAATTTAAATATTCACTAAAACTTGCTTTGCTAAAATATAATAAGACCGACTTAGAGGTTTTTTAAGATAAATAGCAAGGTAATCATATATATCATTACATACCCTTGTCGTACATATCAATGCACACCCTTGTCATATCCTAAGCACATGTCGTACACGAGTTTGAAGTTATGTTTGTGTTCGACAACATTTGAAGTGAAACATAAATCCGTGTTGATGCTGGTTCCAATCTTCGCCATCTAAAAATTCTTTTCCATTTCCATCTTGAGAACATTGAATCAGCATTTAATAGGTGTTTATAAGTCATTTATCATCTTTAGGGCACCAATAATGGTATAGAATACAGTGATCTATATCAAGCATTGACCTTCCCTTCCTTGGCTACAATATAACTTCTTTGTCACGACCAAGCTCTCGAATTGCCCCTTTAGAAAATTTAGTGATACGAGGTGGCCCCCCATGTTGCAAAATCTATCTTGTAGCAATTTCCAACCAACATCTCGAAGTTGAAAGTCAGACCTCTATTGCCTTAATTTCATAACATCATGATTTTCATGCCACAAGATGACATCATCATCTTCCCCCCAAGTATGTAGAACACATCTAAAAATTTCATTCGTTGTTGCTCTTGCTTCTAGGATTTCATCTGTAGTGTAAGCCAAACTTTTATGTAAACGGCTACTTCCTTTTTGAATCAGTTGTTGCGTCGGTACACCTCTTATTTGTTTCAAGATAAAAGAGTACATTTTGTAGTAATGAAGTTGTTCTTCCTTAGCAAGTGTATTCCTATGTAGCATGAAAAAAAAAAGATGATGTAAAATAACCAAAACAATTGAGGATCTTATAAATTGAAATAAGGTATATTAATACATATTGGATTTTAAGTTATAGTTAAAATAAGATAGTAAATAATAATTTATGTAGTTCTTTATTATTAAACTTTAATCATTACGTTAGAGTACTATTGTAATTTTTATGATTTAGTTGACGTGATATTCTAAAATATAGCTAATATTTTAAAGTAAATGCTATATTAATTTAAATTGGTATTAGTTATAATATTATTTAAATTATCATATAGTCGAAGCTCATGTTAGCATTGAAATTGAGTGCAGCATAAATAATCATTAAATTATTTTATATATTTTAGAATATATCTATTTATCATACATTCACATACACATGAAATGGAGTGCATAAATAAAAAAAATACATTATCATAGCTCATCTATCAATGACGCAGAAGAGCCCTACTACTAGGAGTATATCTATCTGGGGCCCTTCTTCTTCGTAGTTGTAGCGTTGCTCTTCCTCAATAAATTCCTCTTCTTGCTCTATAAATTCTGGATGATGCTACGTTGCATCAGTGTATTATTACAATGGTTATCATCCCATCAATAGTATATCTTGCTGCGATGGGGAGGTCGGTAACCCAATACTTGACATCCATTTAGGTATAGCAATAAAAAAAATGTATGCGTTGTGGGATATTGAGATGGTGTACCATAATATATTTCATGTGCACCACTTTTCTGTGCACAGAATGGGCTCCAATGTTGTGTGGATGACCCTGCCCTAATCATATCATAGATAGTCGACGGAGTATGCATTGAAAGTCTAGGTGGTTCCCTCTTAGTACTTTGGTGGCGTCGACTTCTTGTGGATCTAGATGGAGCATCAGAGGTTGACTGTCTTGCTCTTTGAGCTCTATAAGACTCTGCTCCTCCTTCCCTAGTTTGGATCCTCTCATCTATTATGGTGTCAATAGTAGTGTAGTTGATATAAACTGAACGCTGCACTCTAGTAGAGAGCTTCGTTACCTGGTTAACTGCTAATTATAAAGAACTGGCATTTTGTCCTTGCATCCCCGCCAATGGCTCCAGAATAACTGTTAAATGTATTTAGTTGTCAGCCTAGAAGATGTAATATATTTGTCAAATTCAAATTTATTAAACATATAAAAAATTTAATATAATGCCACATACTACCAATCATTCTCTTGGAGATCAAGGGAAGAAAGTTTCTTGTGGCTCTTTTTATGTCTGTAATAGATAAATCGATGCCATGATCTATACCACCATAGGTATGTGCCTAACTCTCGATTATCTGTGCTTTCTGGTGGAGTTATTACAATAATATATGCTCTCATTTCTTCCCATAGCTCAAGGTATTCCCGATATTGAATAGTCTAATCTAAATCTGCTCCACCTCTTCCATCAATCCTTCTAAAATTTGGTTCCATATGTGGAACATTAGTGAATTGTACTCCCATAAATTATCTCATAAAATGGTCATGTAGATGCAACTAGGTATGCTTCCAACTAATGAGGGGCACTCGAGCATGTCGAATTCCCCTCCCCTCCAGACATTGGCTAGGCAGAGTTATAAGAATCTCATCTATGTATAGAATCATGCTCACCTAATATCAATGAAATTAAAGATTATTAGTTTTTTCTGATATTTAATAAATGTATGAGGGGAGACTACTACAATTTTGTATTACCTGACTAAGCCTTAAATCGTCCAAATCATCACGATATGCATCGTGTTTCTGAATGGGAGCTCACATGTTCGATCTTTAGCCCACCTGTAGATAGCACAAAATAATATTATGAAATATCATATGAGTGTAAATTTTTGTACTAATATATACTTCAATACCTACACCCAAGAGGTCTGCTGCAGAAATCGTGTCACTGTGGTAGACGTAGTGTGGGTCTCCTAACGTATAATCACTCCGATGACCAAACTTGTAGTAATGCCACACATCCAACAATATAAGTACGTGTGGGTCTAGTTGCATATATAGCTCTCTGTATATATACGCAAGTACATCACTACCAATATACATTCATCCAAAGAATTCCACTAAGGGCAACCACTACAATTACACATGTGATCGCAACATGTCTGGTATCAAAAAGCACCCAATCATGAAGAGGATATAGGCTCGAATATGCTGAAGAAAAGGACCAAGAGCTAACTTTCGTATGATTCCCTATAGATTGTCCATCGGAGCCAACATAATGAGAGCATTGACTTTAATTGCATACTACCTATCCTTAATGTGGTCATGTCATCTTCATCACCTGGTGCATGATACATAGTATCCCTACATGGATGTGTACGAAGGAGCTCATCACAGCATTCTGGTTAGGATTCCCAACGATGACCTACACCCACCATATTTAGGCTCACAATGGCTAGCCTATCAATTCTCAGTCCAAGTATCACCTGCACATCTTGGAGCATTATTTTCATCTCTCCGTTCGTGAAATGAAAGGTGTTCTTCAGTGGACACTATCTCTCTACAAGTGTTGTTATTAGGTTAT